CCCCACCCCCCACCCCAGCTGCCACCCAGCCTACTCCCTCCTCCCTCTTCCTAGCCTGATCCTGGAAACACCCACATACATAGGCTTCAGTGCCTGGGTTTGCACGGTTCTCACCTCTCAGGTACAGCCCCTTGCCTGGTGTGTAGAGTTCCCTCAAGGGATGGGCAGCCTCTTGTACTGCTGGGCCCAGGTCATGCTCAGAAAGCCCCTGCCCCACAGTCAGCCCGGAGAACAGGAGAGTGTCTGGTCTCCTTCTGTCTGTCCATTGTCTGTCTCTATTCCATCCGCCTTGGCTGCCCTAGCACTTGTGGCTTCCTGTGTCTCGGGCTGGGAGGAGGGAAGGGGAGGAAGGGCTGGCTGGGGCATGGACTGGATTCACCACAAGTCTTGTGCTTCAGATCAAGAAGGCTGAGATGGATAGGAAGACACTGGACTGGGAGATTGTAGAGCTGACCAACAAGCTGCTGGATGCCAAGAACACCATCAACAAGCTGGAGGAGCTCAACGTATGTGCACTTCCCGGGCCTTCCTTGCCTGTGGCCGGCTATTCCTGGCCCAGCCCTGCTCCCTGGGGCAGGGCTGGACTCTGAGCCACATTTGTATCTGCAGGAGCGGTACCGGCTGGACTGCAACCTGGCTGTGCAGCTCCTCAAGTGCAACAAATCCCACTTCCGTAACCACAAGTTCGCTGATGTGAGTACAATACCTGCCCCAACAGTGTCAGTCCAGCCTTTTTAGGACTCTTCTAACTCCAGTTTCTACATCTCTCTCCATCCCCTTGCCTTTCACTACCCCTTTCTGCTTTGCCTAAATGTCTCCTCTCAAGCCAGTCAACTCTGCCACTGGTTGGTATCCTGTATGCTGTCACTGGCCCATCACTAGGGCTGAGGGTTGGCCTGTTGGTATTTTTGGAACAGAGACAGGGAGAGAGGGACTCAGTTTCAGGATCCCATGCAGGAAGGAGGGGTGGCCAGAGCTATCAGCCATAAGAATATTGAGAGAGTATTAGGCCCAACTGATCCCCTGACCCCAAAGGGCAAACTCTAGACCCAAGACCCTCAGGCACAAGGTTGATGGGGCCGACAAGCAGTGGGACATTCCCAAGGCTGTCGGTCAGTACAGAGCCTCAAACTTAGGTCCGGTTTGGGCAGAAACTACTGCTAAGATGGGGGAGACAGAAGTTCGAGAGCACGTGGGCCTTAGCACCAGTTCTGGGTTCAGATCCTGCTGGTGTTAATCAAAAGCTTCAAGTTATTTTAGCCCCAATGAGCCTGTTTATGTGTGAAATGAGGATGTACCCGGGCGTGCTGCAAGCACAGGAGACAGCAGAGTGCCAAGCACACCGTGGTGCTTGCATGCGGTAGCCGTGTTTTGCCACGAGTCAGCCTGTCTTAGGTTGGGATCATTCATGTCTCTCTTCCCTTCTGCTCCTTTACCCCAGCTGCCCTGTGAGCTACAGGACATGGTTCGGAAACATCTGCACAGTGGTCAAGAGGCTGCCAGCCCGGACCCTGCCCCCAGCCTGGCACCAGGGGCTGTGGTACCCACCTCGGTCATTGCCCGCGTGTTGGAGAAGCCAGAGTCTCTATTGCTCAATTCGGCCCAGTCAGGCAGTGCTGGGCGCCCCTTGGCTGAGGATGTCTTTGTGCATGTAGACATGAGTGGGGGTGCCCCCGGTGACCTAGCTAGTCCCCCAGTCCCTGGCAGCCCCACCCCTCAACCCAATGGGGAGTGCCACTCTCTGAGCACTGCTGGGGGCTCCCCAGATGAGGAGGTGCCTCTGCCGGCCTTTGAGAAGCTAAGCCCCTACCCCACCCCATCTCCACCACACCCTCTGTATCCCGGCCGGAAGGTAATAGAGTTCTCTGAGGATAAGGTGCGAATCCCCCGCAACAGCCCCCTGCCCAACTGCACGTATGCCACCCGCCAGGCCATTTCCCTGAGCCTGGTGGAGGAGGGGAGTGAGCGGGGCCGTCCTAGCCCAGTGCCCAGCAGCCCTGCCTCCGCCCAGGCCTCACCCCACCACCAGCCCAGCCCAGCACCCCCAATACTCAGTGCCCCAGCCAGCTCTGCCAGCTCTGAGGAGGACCTGCTGGCCAGCTGGCAGCGGGCATTTGTTGACCGCACTCCACCGGCCGCTGTGGCCCAGTGCACAGCTTATGGACATGAGGCGCTCCCTGAGCTGCAGCGCCAGTTTGCTCTGAGCCCCGCTGACAGAGAGGAGGAGGTTCAGGCACCTTCTTCCCCACCTGGTGAGAGTGGGCTCTTGCTGCCAACAGAACCTGACTCTGGCCTTCCCAGGGAGGAAGATGAGGAAGAGCTGAATCTGCCCATCAGCCCCGAGGAAGAACAGCAGAGCCTGCTGCCCCGTGATACTGGCACAGAGACAGGGCCTGGTGCTTCCCACACTGAGGGCAGGACCCGGGCACTCCCCGGTTCCAGCCGGCCCCAGCGCAGCCCCAAGAGGATGGGGGTACACCACCTACACCGCAAGGACAGCCTGACCCAGGCCCAGGAGCAGGGCAATCTGCTCAATTGAGGCCCCTGCTTGCCTTCCTGCCACTGCTGCACTGGGACTGCAAGGAGACCTGATCCTTGCAGCTCATTGTCCTCTCCCCAGCCAAGCGTCCCTCTAGGCCTGCACAGCTCTGTTCCTTGTACGGGGAGGGCCAGGTGGTGGGCCACACCAGGCCTTTCAGCTGCATTGACTGACTGGCACCAGCTTGCCTCATGGTTTTCCCCTTCTTGAAATATTTATTCTCCAAAGGTAACATGCAGCCAGGGCTCAAGATCTTTCTTCAAATCAGTCCAGCCCAAATCGGGCTTATCACATCAGTGTTCATCCTCCCTCTTCCTCATAGCCATGAGGTGTTGTGTTGTTTTGTTTTTTGATGAGGGGTGTTATTGGGATTATTAACCTCTAATTCCTATTTTCTATTAACCTTTCTATTTTTTACCTGTTTCCCTCTCCCCCAGAATCCCTTGCACAGCCATTGCCTTTAAGGGGCCTGGCACAGCGTGCCCTCCGGGGTGGGAGAGGGCTGACTCAGGGCTCTCCTCAGCTGTTCCCTCTGGAAGGGAGTGGAGGGCGGGCCTCGGGCCTCCAGCTGGGCTCTAGATGAGGCCTGGCTCCCCTCCTAATCTTGGCTCTAGACTGTTACTCCCAGCTTTGGGAAATTTTCACATTTTAAAATTAAATAAAACTATTTTACTGTTATGGACTAATTTGTCTATTACTGACGGTTCTGCTCCCCATCCTTGAGTATTCCCAGTCCCTGTGATGTCCTACTTTTTGCTGGTGATTCTCCCTTGCCCCACTCTGCCTGGGCCTTCCCTGGGCACAGAGCATCAGGCAGTGGGAGAGGGTGGACCTTAGTAACCTTGATGGGGCCCCTGTGTCTCCCCTTGAGGTAGAGTCCAGCCCAGCTCTGGAGGTAAGCTCTTTACCTCAGTTATACTGTTATAGGGCCTGTGTGAGGTGTCACCTAGCAGTGCAAGGTCTGAGTCAGACTAGTTTGAGACTTGGGGCCAGGGGATGCTTTGGTTGTGGGGTGGCACTGCCCCCTAGAGGTGCCTAATGGTAATGTCACTTCCTCCCCTACTGCCAGCCCCAAGTGACCACAGCCATACGCCAGGTTGTAGAGTTCATAAAAATCTCTTCCGAGCCAGCGGGCTGCAGCCAGAGCTGCCAACAAGTCCAGAGCCATTGCCTTGCGTTCGAGTGCCCCCAAGGCTGGTGCTCATTCACAGCTTCCAGAGCCTCCCCTCACACTGCCAGGAGCTGCCAGAGCCCCAGGCAACCCCCTCCCTCCCAAGCCCCAGGGCCTGACCCTGGTATCTGGGGCAAGGTGCTGGGGACAGAGGCGAATGTAATAATGTGTGGAAGCCCAAGTGGAGAGTCACATCTCGGTCTCAGCCAACAGACTGTCCCCTAGTCCTGACGTCATTAGCACCATCTGAGAGCTGGGATCTGTGGAAGGCAAGAGGGGTGTTCAGACCACCATTTGTTCCTGCAATGGGGACTATAAATAGGAAGAAAGTGGCCCAGGTTTCCCACACCCATCCTCCCGGGTCCCAAGCCTCTTCAGACCTGGCTCCCATCAACCCACAAGGCTCTTACCACTGGGGCACATCCAGGAACTGCTTCCCCTCGGGTGGGCGGCAGGCTCCCGCCCCCTCTCTCCTTCCTGGGTGTGACCAGGCCCTCCTGCCACCTCCTCCTCCTCTTCTCCCTCAGAAAGGAGGTCACAGATCTGCTGCTGCAGCTCTGGGCTAATGCTGTTCTCAGCCAACACCAGGCTTCGCAAAGCTGTGGGGTAATTCTCCACCATGTCCAGCAGGGTCTGGGGTAGAAAAGAGTGTGGAAAAGAATAAACTCGGTTAAGGTGGCTTCCTTGACTCCAGCCTGCCACCCCTTTGTTCTGTCCACAGACACCCTGGCTAACTCCCCCTCCCCCACCCCCAGGCCTCCCCCAAACATGAAGATGTCTCACCTGAGCAGACTGGTTGGTGAGCCCTGTGCTCTCCAAGTCTAGGACCTCTAAGGTGCGACTGGAGGCCACAGCCACAGCCAGCATCCCTGCCACATGATCACCTTGGGAGACAGCATGCACACACACATACGCATCTACATTCACGCACCGGCCTGCGAACCCTTCCTCCCAGACAGCTTCCCCATCGCCCTAACAACCTTGGGTCCCACCCCCAGGCCAGGAAACACTGACAATTGGTAGGTAGCCAGGAGCAGAGCATTGTGATTGGTGAGTGAATGCATGAAGCGAGCTGGAAGTGGTGATGGATGCTTTGATCTACCTGTTGGTCATCTATCTGGTCCTCCACACAGGTGGCTCCTCTGCTACCTCCCAGACCCCCCTCCATTTTCCCTTCCCCAGTGTGGGGGTTACCGTGGCAACCGATGGTCCCAGGTTCTTGGATGGGGGGTGGGGTGGTGAGAATCTAAGGAAGTTTTCTTGAGCCTCACCCAGGGGGTTGTAGTCCAAATTGAGGACGCGGACCTGGGAGCTGTGGGCCACAGCAATGGCAAGGCGGCTCCAGCCCTTAGGAGTGATGCCAGGGTTGGCACTCAGCGTTAACTCCTTCAGACCTGGGCAACATCGCAAGGAGAAGCCAGGATGGGAAAGTGTCAGGCCCTCTTTAAGCTCCTACCCTGCCCTAGATCTCTGGAGTGTCCCTAGTGGCTGGGAGGCACCCCACCCCCACTACAGAACTCCAGGGCCGTTGGAGACCCTGCCCTCCCTGCCCACCAGAACTGGATTTCAGATTCTCCATCCTGTTCAACCCCTAATCCTCCTCCTTCCTGAAAACATTTAAAATACATTCTCACCCACACTGTCAGAGCCCTCCGCTCTGGGCTGGGGCCCCTGCCCTCTGCATTTAGCTTTTCATCAAGGCCACACCAGCCCCTGCCCTTAGCAGGGCCCTGCTCACCAGACTTGGCCCCGTCTGGGGGGAGGAGGCCACAGATGAGGTTGATGGCTTCATCACCCAGCATGCAGTCCCCCAGGTCCAGAGCCACAAGGGCAGGATGGAGGGCCAGGGCTGGGTTCAGCAAGGCCAACCCCGCATCTCTCAGGGGGCTCCCATGCAGGCTGGGGGGTGAGACCAGAGAGCAGAGGTTACACGGTCGTCAGCCCTATCTGTGGGGGAAGAGGTGAGCCCTGAGGAGAGGAGGGCACTCAGGCTCGGCACTGAGGCGAGGCTTTGGGAAGGGAGAAAGGAAATTCCAGACTCTAGTCTAGAGAGGAACGCAGGTAGACGGTTTCCTGGGACCCAGGACAGAGGGCAGAGAAGGGGGTAGGGTGGATTAGGGTGCCTCAGTAGGAGGATGTCGGCAGTGTTCCTTTTGGGGGACTGAGGAGCTGCCCCCAGAAGTCAATGCGGTGACTAGGTGAGAGGTGCACGTGCCCCACCAGGAAGGGGTGGGTATCCCATCTGCTTTGGGGTGAGGCTGCGGGTGCTGGTTCCGGAGGAGGGATGTGCTGGGAGGGTGGAGGCAGAGGGAGAGGGCGGGGTGTCAGGGGAAAGAGGGAGGCGGTGCAGAGAGGCTCAGGAAGGTGCGCGGAGGAAGGGGTGGCAGGGAGTGCGAGGAGGGACCCTTTTCGGGACAGCACACTCACAAGAGCGACTGGATGGAGCGGTTGGTCCGCAGCGCCTCCGCCAGCTGCTTGATGCGGCTGGGGCTGGACACGACGCCCAGGTTAAGGTTGAGCTGCGCCAGGGACGTGGCCCCGGCGAGGGCCCGGCAGA